GTGTGTGTGTGCACGTGTATGTGTACACTGCTGAGTATATATATATATATATATATATATATATATATATATATATATATATATGGAGAGAGAGACAGGGAGAGATTGAAAGAGAGAGAGATTTATTTTCAGGAAATGGCTCATGAGACTGTAGGGGCTGGCAATTCTGAAATCTTGCAGACAGGCAACCTGGAGACCCAGAGAAGAGTTTCTGTGATGAGTCTGAAGACAGTCTGGAGGCATGACTCCTTACTTTGGGAATCTCAGTCTTTTTCTCATAAGGCCTTCAACTGATTGGATGAGGCCCACCCATATTATGGAGGGTAATCTGCCTCATAATAGGGAGCATTATGAATTTAAGCCAACTCCAAGTCTCTTGACTTAAATGTTAATCACTTCTAAAAAATACCTTCACAGCACCATCTACATTGGTGTTTGACTAAATATCTGGGTACCAGAGCCTACAAAGTTGATACATGAAATTAACCATCACATCCGTAATTACCCCAAATTAGAAATAGCGCAATGTTTGTCCACAGGAGATTGGGTGAACATTCATACAATGGAACACTACTAAGCAGTAAAGAGTTACAAACTACTGATACATGCAAAAACATGGATGAACCTCCAAAATATTAGGTGAAGAAAAGGAAGCCAGACACAGGGGCATAGACTGTATAATTTCATTTCTATAAAGCTTAAGAACAAATCAATCTAACCTCTGGTGATAGAAATAGTACAGTGTTGCCTATGGGAGGTGAGGATTTCCTAGAAAGTGGCAGAAAGAAACATTCTGCAGTAATAAACATGTTTTTTATCTTTATTAGAGTGTTCCTTATGCAGGCATATACATTTGTAAAAATTTATCCAATTATATATGTAAAGGTTGTGTATTTTGCTGTATGTAAATTTTACTGTATTTTTTTTTTTAAGAAAAGAAAAACCTGAAGAGATTACAGTTCCTTCCTTTAAGGAGGTTACAGGCCAGTTGGGAAGACAGATAGGCAAAAAGACATTAACAAGTTGATAGGATGAGTGAGGCACTTAACCTAATTAGCTTACTAATACTTTTAAAACAGTAGATGGGGAATGGGCACTGGTATTTCTTAAAGCATATAAGCTGTCTTAATATGTAGCCCAGAGTGAGAATCAGTGCCTTATCAGTACCCCATGAGGGCTGGGACTTTGCTATTATTCACCTTTGAATCCCTAGCTCCTGGTATAGGGTCCAGTTCAAAAAATACGTGTTGAATAAATTCTTTGCTTTCTCCCACCAAAAAAAGGAAGGAAGGAAGGAAGGAAGGAAGGAAGGAAGGAAGGAAGGAAGGAAGGAAGGAAGGAAGGAAGGAAGGAAACCTGTGTCATCACCTCTCTTCTAATTCTTCCACCTTTTAATTTACATCATGCCTGACCATGAGCCTGTGAGAACCTTGGGTCTAGGACTCAGAGATGACAAATGTATTTAATCTTGCCTATCAACTCCAAGCCCTTGGCAGTGGCAGTGTCAACACTGTGTTGAGGCTTCTGAGGCTTAGTCTGGGTTTAAAAGGAGAGAGCATCTTGATTGGTCAGTACTGCCTGCCATAGGTGTGAAAAATGAGATGCCCCACTGGTCCCGCCAGTTCAGCGGTTCTCAACCTGTGGGTCGCGACCCCTTTGGGGGTCGAACCACCCTGTCACAGGGGTCACCTAAGACCATCGGAAAACAAAAAGATACTTACATTACGATTCATAACAGTAGCAAAATTACAGTTATAGAGTAGCAACGAAAATAATTTTATGGTTGGGGGTCACCACAACATGAGGAACTGTATTAAGGGGTCGTGGCATTAGGAAGGTTGAGAACCGCTGCGCCAGTTGTTGACAAGCCCCGGGGATACACCAACGTGGGGCCTCTGTATTACTCACGCTGAGGTCTTGGCCAAGCAAACAGACAAAAAGAAACACCCAAGATGAGGACAAGTGACAAGAAAAGAAGGGGAAAGAAGAGGTGAGAGGCGGGGCAGAGAAAGGAAAGTAGGATGGAAAGAAGGGAAGTCAAATGAAATTACTAATGAAGTTGTCTATTTCAAAGTGCTACACAGAAAGAAAGTAACTGCATACTTTTCTTCCAGATTATGTAACCACAGGATACAAACCTGTGGTTCTGAGATCTCTTCCTGATTCCCAGATCTCTTTCCAACGAAGGGCAGAGCAGCTTCCTTTGAAACTGAAACCAGGAGACGAGTGAAAGTAGCCCACGGGATACCTTTTTGCCTTCCTTGATCTTTCCAGTGTGGTTTTCTTCAGGGCTGTGGTTTAGAATTGAGAGCTGCCAGGAGTTCCACAGCTCTGATTCATGGTTGGCATAAAGTTCCCCTACACTGCCTCCTTCAGGCCAAACTGCCAACTGCAGAGAACCATTTAATGAAATTGGCTTGGAACAGTTTGCCTCAGAGAGTTTGTGCCACGGGAAAATCGTTGTAGTTGCAATGCAATAAAAAACAAGTCTCTTCTCTGTCCTGTGCACACGAATGTCTTAGAAACTCTATATGTTTACAGGGCCTCCCCCCCCACACACACACACAGAGCAGACACATTACATGTGTCCTTCATTTAGCTCCCCAAAGACCCTGTAAACCAGGGAGGTAGTCTCTACTATTCATGTAAAGAAATTGACACTTGTGTTAAGAAACTGGCCCAAGTTTACATAGATATTAAGTGGCACACTCAGGATTAAAATCCAAACTATTGAATTACAAAATCCATATTTTTCTCCCTGTGCCACACTCCATGGCTTTGCAGTTTCTTTGTATGTATCTTTATTGCAGAAGTAGCCAAAGGTTACTTAGGAACAAGTTACTGCTGCCTAAGCTTTCCCGAAAGGAGCATCCTAAGCGAGGCCTGTCACTGTCCCTCTGACTTCCCCAGTACTGGGAGTCCCGGGGCCCCTGCAATTATGTCAGTCTTGTGTAAACAATTTGTCACTGCCCTGGCAAGACTTATAATCAGTCCTAGAACTCCACATTTTGTCTGGTCCTTCATCCTCTAATACATGGAGGAAAGACTTCTTTTTTCTTATGCAATTAGAAACATTCTTTAGCTTTTGACATTAAAAAATGCAAGATTATAATTCCTTTTTTGCTTGAGCAAATCATTTCAGATAATTGGAGTGTTTTCCATGAGAAGAAAAGGGTTCATTAATGCCATGTTTAGGTATCTTTTTCGCATCTAAATCTTCAGAATTGTATTTGGGGGAGCAAGGAAGAAGAGTTGGGGGTAGTGAGAAAGGCCATTATCTGTATTAAGCATTACAAAGATGCTCTGAAAATTATAAAATATCATATGAATATTAAGTAGCTATATAATAATTATTATTACTGTAAAAGTGATAAGGTTGGGGAAAGAGTAATTTTGATAATAATAATATCTAATTTTATAATTTGATCCCACCCAGCCCTGCCAATCTCACCTTCTACTCTGTGCAACCAATGTTCATCTTCTATTTCAACCAAGCTCTTCTAATTGGTGATGGTAAATACTTGTATATTCCGGCTACCACCCTTCACTGAGGCTACTCACTTACCTTAATTGCCACCCCTTCCACTGCCCTACGCTTACGGAAATTATTACCTGAGTCCTACCCTTCTTCAAGTTACAGCTCAAGTCCACCTGCCTGATCACTGGTCCACAGCGACCTCTATCTTCCCTCAATGGCAACAGCACTTACCGTCACCCAGGCTCTCACTGACTTGTCACAGTCTCTTACGTGTGTTTCTGCATCTGTCAAGATCCCTAGAGAAAATAAACTGCGCACTCAATAGAGGCGATTGAAGAGAATTTCATTAAGGTGTGTTTATAGAAAGGTAGGTAGCAAGGAATGACGAAGCACCTGACAAAGACAACGGAAGGATGCCTTGACTACCCCTAGGTCTGAAGAAACAGGTGGAGGAAGCAGGTACTATAACCCAGGGAGAATAATAGCTTAGAAGAAGGGCTCCTAACAAGAGCTTTGGCCTTGGGAAAGGAATTCAGCCACTGCCAAGAGGTGGCCCAGCAGGGGAGTAGCCAGGAAGTGTTCCTATCCCCGTCTCCTCTTGTACTTCATTTCCAGTTGATCTTCCCATAGACTGAACCAGGAAGCCAGCGGGGCAGGAGCTCAGCTAGTGCAGCCTGTGGAAATCATACTGCTAGGATGCAGAGCAGGGGAGAGTTTGTGTTCAGAAGGGCAGCTCAATATTGGTGTATGGTTTGCTTCCCGAATCAACTTGATGGTAATCTCCATTGGTTCCTGCCTCTTGTCAAGAGTAACCGTCTTCCCTCGTGACTCTGGTTAGTGTCTGGACTCCTGGACTTTGAGAAATCTCCCTGTACCAATCTTCTACTTACTTCTAAGATTGCCTTGAAAGTCCCCTGATGATAATTCTGTTTTGTCAATTCTGTGCTTTACAAGCAGTAAGAACTAATCCACTGGTGTCTTTCATGTAGGAAGTACAAGGTGGCATCAATATTTTATTTTCTTAGCTGTGTTAGAATATATTTGTGTATTTGTTATCCATTATCATTTAGGCATAACTGTAGCTGAGAAAACCAATTATTAAAAAGAAATTTCAACACATCTGATTTACTTAGTGTTGCTAAGAAAAAGAAAGAAAGAAATCAACTACTTCTTAGAAGATGTTTTTGCGTATTTCATACATTGCTTCTCACTGGTGACAGGTGTGACCAAAAATATGAAGGTGAATTATCATTGAAATATAGGTTTTGAAATTCATTTCTAATCAACCATCTTATAGCAGGCTGACAGAAAAATAGCCCAGTTAGAAAGTATCTAATTTAAAAAATAAACACTGTATACTTCCTTTCTCCCTTCTTAGTAAAACAAAACTTTTCATCTACTGAATCTTGCAGTGACTTGATATCAACACTTCCCTCTTCTTTCCACATTTTGCACCAAACCCCGTATGTATTAGTGCTGAATAAATTCTTGAAAGTGAGAGAATAATTGAATGAAATGCACCACCCTTCCCTGTTCATTCATTCTAATATGCAATAGCCCTCACTGCTAAGAACCTCATTGCTAAATCTATTCCCCGGCTACTACAAAGTTAATCTCCTCCACTGCTTCCCTCACTGAGGATGGAAACAACTGATCAACCCTCTCTGTCCGCATGACACATTTTCAAGTGACTCCGAAAGCCTTCAAGAAACAGTAAAAGGAGTCATTATATCATTGATAAACCCACTTACAAAACGGCAAAGTTGCGAAAATTAATCAACTTGCCTGTTTGCCATTTCCCCAAGATCTGTGCTATTTCCACCTCCATCCTCCACTTCAAAAAGCCCAAGAAGGTCAGGGAGCTGGTTTGTCTTGTTCCCCCATTGATTTTCAGGTGCCAGTAAAGCGCCTGGCACATGATAGGAATTCAACAGGTAATTCCTAAAGTGAACAGAAATCGACCAAGTATCGCCTTCAGTTATAGCTTCATGCTATCAATACATTAATTACCCCACTGGTGCAGACCTCTCCCTAAATAATGATGATAACAACAACAAGGACAATATTAATACTGCAACGCTTACTGAATGTCATGCTCTGTTCTATGTGCTTTAACGTATTCACAGTTTAACCCTCTGATGGGGTTCAGGACACACTATCCCATAATATTGCACCTTGGCATACTGTTTCAAGCTGCAGGAGTGTGAGAAAGCAGCAAAAGCAAGAAGGCCAATCTAACACCGCCCCCTTCTCCCCTGTTACAGGTCATAAAACCCTCCTGTGGGAGGTGCCCTCCCCACACCTGGAGGAAAGGAGCGTCCTTATCATCTGAGGCAAAGGGAAACCAAGAAGAATCCTAACAAACAGGCCTCAGGTTCCCCAGCTTACTGTAATGACCTTGTACTCATTAGCCGATCATATTTCTACACGACTGCTCACTCATCATCAAACCTAGCATTAAAATACTCAAGCCTGTTTCTTCGGGGTCTTGGTTTCCTTATGAAGGCACCCATGTCACATAACATTTATATTAAATACATTTGAGAGTTTTTTCATGTTCGTCTGTCTTTGTCAGTTTAAGTTTCAGACCCAGCCAGGGACCATAAGAGGGTTGAGGAAAACCTTTTCTTTCACACACCTTAAAACAATCCTATAAAAGTCCTGAGGCTAGGTATCATTATTATTCCCGTTTTACAAATAAGGAAACTAAGGCATGGAGTAAGGGTGTAATTTTCCCTAGGTAATAGGTTAAATAAGGTTGGGAGTCAGGATATATGAATCCAGATAGATAGCACCAGAGCCAAAACTCGTATCATCTGACTATAAGGCATCTGTGTAGACTCCTAAAAAAAAAAAAAAAAAAGCAACAATGAATTCCTTACAGCTATTAGCTATGGTGTTTGCGTTTCAAAGAAAATGAATAAATAATTAGATTCTTTTTTAAAAACATTGAACATGACAGTTTAAAATTTCACAATCAGATGAGTAACAAAAATATAAGCCTCACCTGTTTCCCCCCCACACACACATTGATATCCAGCTGCAAATGATTTGTTACTTTCCTTATCCCCACAATCAGCTGCTTTTTTTTTTAACTTTATTGGGGAACAGTGTGTTTTTCCAGGACCCATCAGCTCCAAGTCAAGTAGCTGTTTTTGAATCTTAGCTGTGGAGGGCGCAGCTCAGCTCCAAGTCCAGTTGCCGTCTTTCAATCTAGTTGAGGCGGGGGGTGCAGTTCACCATCCCATGCGGGAGTCGAACTGGCAACCTTCTTGTTAAGAGCACGCGTTCTGACCAGCTGAGCCACCCGGCCACCCCTACAATCAGCTTTTGACTGCCGCATTTCTTATTAGAAGCCACTGGGTTTAGGATGGCAGGACAAAGTGGCAGGTGATTAAAAAATAGACCACGAGTGTGTCTAGGCCCTGAGAAGGGGAGAAAACGAGACTGGTTTCATATCAAAGATGCTTCCTCACAGGCGACTTCCAGAAGGGAGGGGATTTTTTTTTTCAGGCCATTAAATGACTATTTACAGGCGGTAACAAAGGGATCGTGAGGGTATCATTTCCTCTGTTGCTATTGCCCGGGACTGTGCGAATGGTGAGAATGAAGGGGAAAAACCCAGGAGGAAGGAGGTGGTGACAGGCAGGAGAGAATGACATGGTACAATATCTTTATTGTTATTAAAACACCTTGTTCCTATCACAGCAGCCTGCATTTTGTGTTGACCCTTTGCTTTCTTTTAGAAATATTATTTATTTCCAGGCACATCTCCTCATTTTTTTTTTCTACCTAAATGTTGAAGAAAGCCATGAGACATGTAGTGTTCTTCGGTCTAACTGCTGAAAAGTCAGTTAGGAAAAAGTCTTCTCGGTAAATAAACAATGCACGAAGGTGAAAGGAAACAGGAGAGCTTTATTTAACTCCTCTAAATAAAGTTCAAAGATGAGGAAAAATAACTTTAAGTCCATGAATAATCCATTCAAAGCAAGTAGTCCTGTATTACACCTTAGATTAACACAAAACGTTACAGCACAAG